TAAGTCATCCGACAAAAACAAAAAAATAGCACCTTAGTTAAAAACTTTAGAGGTTTAAAGTATTAGTGCCTCTCACTTTGGAGGTTTTTTATGCGATTTTCCCAAGGTTTTCACCAACACGTAAAATAATAAATTTTTTTCTTTCTATTGACTCGAATGACTGGAAATGTTAATAAACAAGTGTATACAATTTGACAATGCCAAAACAAATCCTTAATAGATAAAGAACTTAATTTGGTGATCCGTCACCACTCACTTGTCAACTTCTATCCCCAATCATCATAAATCATATTCTAATACCCTAATTCAAATTTTTATAAGCCTAATTTTCTAACTAACCCAAAAAGATTCGTCCTTTCAAATTTTCCAAAAACCTAAGCAAAGCAAAACACGAGAATCAAGAGCCACATAGACTAAAAGACCGTTAGAAAATAAAAAACAAACTTTTTTTAGCTCACCAAATCAAACCCAATTTCACATTGAGAGCCAAACACGAAACTCATGCGTCTTAATTCATTCTTCTCTCATTTCACATTCTTCACCCACTAATTAACTAACAACTTTCATTATTTGTAAACTCTGTCTCTCTTTGCAAAATCATTCATTTCTCACATACACACTCTGTTTTCTTTGTTTCCCTCTTTTGTCACTATGAACCCTAATTCTTCTTCTTATAATCTCACGATTACTCCCATTTTCGTCTCCTCTTCTTGTTCCAGAAGTCATGAGCTTCCGGTTTCACGGAGGCTTCTTTCCTTGAGAGATGTTCAGATTCTTGAGCTCTTTATAGCACTTTTCGTGTTTGTCACGATACATGCCTTGCGACAGAAGAAACGTCAAGGGATACCGGTTTGGCCGTTTCTCGGGATGCTTCCTTCGTTGATTTTCGCAGTCCGGGGCAACATCTACGAATGGTTATCCGAAATTCTTATCGGCCAGGATGGGACTTTCCGGTTTAGAGGTCCTTGGTATAGCAGTCTCAACAGCGTCATTACTTGCGATCCAAGAAACGTCGAGCATCTTCTCAAGACCCGTTTCTCAATCTATCCTAAAGGTTCTTACTTTCGTGAGACCATCCGAGATCTACTCGGAGACGGAATATTCAACGCCGATGAAGAAACGTGGCAGCGGCAAAGGAAAACAGCGAGCGTCGAGTTCCATTCAGTTAAATTCAGGGAATTAACCAGTCAATCTTTGCAAGAACTTGTGCATAATAGACTCTTGCCGGTTCTAAAAACTTCAAAAAATATCGATCTTCAAGACATTTTGTTAAGACTAACGTTTGACAACGTATGTATGATTGCTTTCGGCATCGATCCAGGCTGTCTTGGTCCAAATCTACCTGAAATTCCTTTCGCAAAAGCGTTCGAGGATGCAACAGAAGCAACAGTTTTGCGATTTGTCATGCCTACATTCGTGTGGAAGCTCATGAGGTTTCTTGATTTAGGAACAGAGAAGAAGCTAAAGGAATCAATAAAAGGTGTGGATGATTTTGCTGAGAAAGTAATCCGAACCAGGAAGAAAGAGCTCTCTCTAGAGACCGAAATTGCAAAGAAATCAGATCTCTTAACAATTTTTATGGGTCTAAGAGACGAAAATGGAGTGAAATTTTCGGATAAGTTCTTGCGAGATATTTGTGTGAACTTCATACTTGCTGGGAGAGACACTTCCTCTGTGGCTCTAAGCTGGTTTTTCTGGATAATCGAGAAGAAACCGGAGGTGGAAGAGAGAATCATGGTGGAGATTTGCAAGATTATGGAGCAGGGAGATCATCATGGAGATACAGAGAAGAAGATAGACTATGAGCCTGTGTTCAGACCAGAAGAGATCAAGAAAATGGAATATCTACAAGCTGCTTTGTCTGAAACTCTCAGATTGTATCCTTCTGTTCCAGTTGATCACAAAGAGGTACCTGCTCTGTTTCACTTACTTTTTTCTCAAGAAACCATATTTGTTTGATTTTTGTTTTTTCAGTTCTTAGGTTTATTTGGTTTGGAGAATGTTATACCAAATTAGAAACGAATTTGTCTAATTTTTTAGGTACTCGAAGACGATGTATTTCCAGATGGAACAAAATTAAAGAAAGGAGAAAAGGTTATATACGCGATTTACGCAATGGGACGTATGGAGACGATTTGGGGAAAAGACTGTCGTGAGTTCAGACCAGAGAGGTGGTTAAAAAATGGTCGGTACATGACTGAGTCAGCCTATAAGTACACGGCCTTCAATGGAGGTCCTCGGCTCTGTCTAGGCAAAGATTTTGCTTATTACCAGATGAAATATGTTGCGGCTGCGATCATTTATCGGTATAGGGTCAGGGTTGACGTGAAGAGTAGTCATAAGGTTGAGCCAAAGATGGCTCTAACTATGTACATGAAGCATGGCTTGAAGGTGAATATGATCAAGAGGAGTGACTCTGAGATAGACCACTACCATGCTAAGTGCCATAATAATGGTGCATAGTTTATTGGTGTTTTGAGATTTATGAAATGTTGTAATAAGTGATTGTTGTATTTTGGATGATTTTTTGATGAATTTTTTTAAGGTTTGTGTTTATGTAGTACTTATGGTTTTAAAGTAATCATAACTTAGGGCATTACAATAGTATTAACTACAAGTGTGTTTCTAACCTTTTAATTAATTTGAAAAGCTTTTCGCGTTTGGAGCCGAGTGTAGACTCAGGTAGAAAGAAACAGGGGGTTTTTTTTTTTCTTTTTTATAACCACTAGCAAAAAGCATTAAAACAACATTCGTAATACATCTATAGAAAATATCTACAAACACTAAATTAAATATCTATAATGTTTTGAGACTTCGTAGTACAGAAACTAATTATAGTCCCTAGTTGTTAAGACAGTAAAGAGAACAGAAATAAAGATAGCTAATAAAGTAGTCGTAGCCAGAACATTTTTCATCAATCTCTTGCTATCATCTGTCTTGATGCGGAACGGATAGGGGACTCCCCAGTTCGAGGAAGCGTCGGTGACGTTCTTGATCCTGAACAATGCGTAGCAATTCATTGTTTGCTTTGATTCTTTCGTTATACCACATTCTGACCTCTTACTCGATGATGCATCGCTGAATATTTTTTCTTGTTGAGTTGGATTATTTGGTCGAAATGCTTGGCTAGCTTTCAATGCCTCCTCGTCAAGATTTATTATATCATCGTTCAGAATTTCAGCGTAACAATCATCATCGGTGTCGGCCTGATCCTATTCCCAAAAAAAAGAAGGTCAAATTCAACTTGAAAA